TCATTTGTAATGTGATTATAATTATTAACAGTTTTATAATATCCCATTTGTTATCTTAAGTGATATATAAACCTACTCCTATATAAAAATAGTTAATATGAAACTCATTTACATTAGATCTACTATGAAACCCAAGAATTATAGTATTATTAGAAGTATTTTAAAAAAGAAACAAGGTGAAAAAATTGCTCCTTATATTTTCAAAATAAATAATACTCAGGCATTGGAAGTTTATCTAAGAAAAGAAAAGATTACTTATGAAATTTACCAAGAAAAAAGAAAAATAATAAGTGTTGAAAAAAGAAAGCATCATGATGATACATTATTACCTAATAAAAGCAAAAATCTTTAAAAGGAAAATAGTTTTATTATTACAATATTTTTTACTGACTATTACTACAAAGAAAATTCACCTTTATACAAATGTAATCAATGATCATTATATTGCATTGCTTATCAATAAAAAAACGTTATTTGAGTTTTAAACAAATTCTATTACATTCAAGGATATGTTTTATACGTCTTTGTTTTCTCTCATTGGCATTGAAACAAGGTAAATAATCCCACCTTATATTAAAATATTATAAAAACATTACCAGTTCACTTAATTTCAGGTAAAAAAATCAAATAACAAATCCTTCAAATAATCATTATTAAACACAATTTAAAAAAACAAATAATCAATAAATATTTACAATATTTTCATTCACAAAAATGCATACTTTCAATTGTGAACTTGTTTACGGATTGTTAATTGGACTCTTGCTTGGTTTCTTACTTCACTATAAAACTTACAAAAATGAATTCTCTATTATAAATCAACTAGGATCTGAAGATGTAGCAATTACTAATCCTTTGAGAATTTCTTCCCAACCACAGTCAAGAATTCGATACAAAGCTCTTATGAAAGAGCAACAGATTCGAATAAATACTTCCTATCCCTTAACACTAGCTGTTTCCATATCTTCTTTGATACATCGATATCAATCACAGCTTTTAAAGGCTTTTGGCCATTAATACATTCGTGAATTTCAGGTAAATCATATACTTCTAAAATGTTATCTGCAACAGAAAACTTTGGGGTTCGATCATTTTGATTTATTTTAATAACTAATTTATCTTCCACCTCACTTCAGTCATAAGCATTATATAAGCTAGAGCTTTTTTCATTTGGAAAGAAAAATGAATAAATTGGAAGATATTCTAATGATCCTTTATCATTTGACATATCTTTAGGTGGTAATGAAAAAATTTCCTGAATGATACTTACTAAATCTAAATTTATCATTAAACTTCTCCTTTCTTAAAGTATATGTTGCATTAACATTTCGCTCTTGTACATTTGAAAACTGAACTAATGGAGTTTTAGTAGAACTGATTGAGACACAGGAAGCTTCTTCATTATCAGACTCATAATTAGACTTGCAATTATTATAATTATCTGATCCTAAGTTAGATTTATTATCAGTACAACTGCTAGAGTTACTTAAATATTTATTAGACTCAGTGCTGTCTATACATGAAGTCGAAATAGATTATTTCAGATATCCGAAATGGTCAAAATGGTCGAAATCATTTTTTTTTTGATACTTTTACTAGGCATGCACAAGTGGTAATATATTTGGATGCATACCTTTCAACAG